CTTTGTAAAAAATAGCTTCTTATATCCATATGCCCACAATGTTTCTGACAGTTCTGTCCCCTGTGCCTGCTAACCGCATGACGTTATTTATCGGGAGGCCTCTAACTTGGCTGAGAAATAGAATTGAAACTCTCCCTTGACAGATACCTGCCTGTAATATTATTTCACTAGTTGGTTTCTAAAATTCCTGCTTCTCCTTTTAATGCTGTTTTAATAGTAATATTTTTCTTTATGAGCGGCCTCAAGCAGTTCTCTAGAGAGGCAGAATATGAATTTCCTCAACAATAGTAATAAATAGTTCTGGTTACGCCACTCTTTTAAAAATGGATCTCTTTATAGAGCTGAAACACCTTCTGTATGAGGGAAAATGGAAAAATATGGGGCTTTTCAGTTTAGAAAACAGATCCTGAAGGGGGAGGGATTGATTCATTATTTATTTAAAAGATTTCTATGCTGCCTTTTCACCCAAATAAGGTCTCCCAGGTGGCAAACATCAAATATTAAAATAAAATAATGTATATATACAGTAATTCAGTAAAGCGTAAGGGTAAAGGTTCCCTTGCTCGAAAGCCAGTCGAATCCGACTCTAGGGTTGCGGTGCTCATCTCCGTTTCAAAGCTGAAGAGCCAGCGCTGTCCGAAGACATTTCCGTGGTCATGTGGCCGGCATGACTGAACACCAAGGCGCACAGAACGCTGTTACCTTCCCACTGAAGTGGTGACTATTTATCTACTTGCAATTTCTTGCTTTCGAACTGCTAGGTTGGCAGGAGCAAAGCATATAATCACACCTAATACCAAAAACCAAGGAGGAGGCCAATAAAGGTTACTGTGGATGTGCCAAATAGAACAAAAAAACCCTTTCACCTATTGGTGGAAGACAACATTCGAGGGAGATACACCAGTTTGGTGTAGTGGTTAAGTGCGTGGACTCTAATCTGGGAGAACTGGGTTTGATTCCCCACTCCTCCACTTGCAGCTGCTGGATGACCTTAGGCAAGCCATAGTCCTGTCAGAGTTGTTCTTGAAAAAGAGCAGTTTCTGTTATAGGGTGTCTGTTGTGGGGAGGGGAAGGGAAAGGAGTTTGTAAGCTGCTCTGAGACTCTGAGTGAAGGGCGGGGTATAAATCCAATCTCCTCCTCTTCCTCTTTTTCCTCTCCTTCCTCCTCCCCCGGGAAGGAGTTTTGAAGTTTGAACAGTACAGCTGAGAAGGCCCTCTCCCAGGATACCACCTATCTAGCTTCATATGGCAGGGGCACCTGAAACAGGACCTCCAAAGGTGACCATGGTACATAGGCAGGTTCATATGGGAGATGGTAGGAGGAAGAGCAGAGGGCAAGTACAAGTAACCCCAGAAAGAGTGAAGCGGCTGGGCCAAAGCCGAAAGGACCCTCAGTTGTGGATGTGTCTGATGGTGAAAGGAAAGTCCGATGCTGCAAAGAACAATACTACATAGGAACCTGGAATGTAAGATCTATGAATCAAGGTAAGCTTGACGTGGTCAAAAATGAGATGGCAAGACTGAACATCGATATCCTAGGAATCAGTGAACTAAAGTGGACAGGAATGGGCGAATTTAACTCAGAAGACCATTATATCTACTACTGTGGCCAGGAATCTCGTAGAAAAAATGGTGTGGCCTTTATAGTCAACAAGAGAGTGCAAAAGGCAGTACTGGGATACAATCTCAAAAATGACAGAATGATTTCTGTCCGATTCCAAGGCAAACCATTCAACATCACAGTAATTCAAGTGTATGCCCCAACCACTGATGCAGAAGAGGCTGAAGTGGACCGGTTCTATGAAGACCTACAACACCTCCTAGAACTAACACCAAAAAATGATGTCCTCATCATCATAGGGGACTGGAATGCTAAAGTAGGAAGTGAAAAGGTAACTGGAATAACAGACAAGTTTGGCCTTGGAAAGCAAAATGAAGCAGGGCAAAGGTTAACAGAGTTTTGTCAAGAGAACACACTGGTCATAGCGAACACCCTTTTCCAACAACCTAAGAGGCGACTCTACACATGGACATCACCAGATGGGCAACACCGAAATCAGATTGACTATATAATTTGCAGTCAAAGATGGAGAAGCTCTATCCAGTCAGTAAAAACAAGACCTGGAGCTGACTGTGGTTCAGATCATGAGCTACTCATTGCAAAATTCAGACTTAAACTGAAGAAAATCGGGAAAACCATGAGGCCATTCAGGTTTGACCTAGATCACATCCCTGATGAATATACAGTAGAGGTGAAGAATAGATTCAAGGGTCTGGATTTGATAGATAGAGTGCCTGAAGAACTATGGACGGAGGTTCGTGACATTGTACAGGAGGCAGCAATCACCACCATCCCAAAGAAAAAGAAATGTAAGAAAGCAAAGTGGCTTTCTGATGAGGCTTTACAAATAGCAGAGGAAAGAAGGAAAGCGAAAGGCAAAGGCGAAAAGGAAAGATTTACCCAACTGAACGCAGATTTCCAGAGAACAGCAAGGAGAGATAAGGAGGCCTTCCTGAATGAACAGTGCAAAGTAATAGAAGAAAACAATAGAATGGGAAGGACTAGAGATCTCTTCAAGAAAATTGGAGAAATCAAGGGAGCGTTCCATGCAAAGCTGGCCATGATAAAGGACAAAAACGGTAGGGACCTAACAGAAGCAGAAGAGATTAGGAAAAGATGGCAAGAATACACAGAAGAACTATACAAGAAAGACCTCGATGTCCTTGACAACCACGACGGTATAATCACTGACCTCGAGCCAGACATCCTGGAATGTGAAGTTAAATGGGCCTTAGAAAGCATTACTAACAACAAAGCTAGTGGAGGTGATGGTATCCCAGCTGAGCTATTCAAAGTCTTAGAAGAGGATGCTGTTAAAGTTCTGCACTCCATTTGCCAGCAAATTTGGAAAACGCAACAGTGGCCACAGGATTGGAAAAGATCAGTATACATTCCAATCCCAAAGAAGGGCAATGCCAAGGAATGTTCAAACTATCGCACAATTGCACTCATATCACACGCTAGCAAGGTCATGCTCAAGATCCTACAAGCTAGGCTTCAACAGTACGTGGATAGAGAACTACCAGAAGTACAAGCTGGGTTTCGAAGAGGTAGAGGAACGAGAGATCATATTGCCAACATTCGCTGGATTATGGAGAAAGTGACACTGTCTAACCATCTCATCCTTTGCCGTCCCCGTCTTCTTTGACCTTCAATCTTTCCCAGCATCAGGGTTTTCTCCAGTGAGTGCAAACATGTCTTTCAAATGCCGGGAAAGATGCCTGGCTTTAAAGTTTGATGCGAACGTATCAAGCAAGCTAGTACTGTGAAAGGGTCATTATGGCTCCTGATTCTGCCACTTTCTCCAGATACTTGGTGACATATCTCTGCAGGTCTGCTATTGGTTCACTGACTTCAGCCTTTGAGAAGTTCCTGGTGGTGATGCACTGTGCTAAAACTGATGCTGCTTTTGGAAGAGCAGTTCTTCAGAGCCTGTTTCTTCAAGACGACCTGCAGATAACATCAGGTACATGGCTCCCTAGTCATCAAATCACCGCAGACTGTGACTGCAGCCATGAAATTAAAAGACGCCTGCTCCTTGGGAGGAAAGCGATGGCGAACCTAAACAGCATGATAAAAAGTAGAGACATCACCCTGCCAACAAAAGTCCGCATGGTCAAAGCAATGGTATTCCCAGTAGTCATGTATGGCTGTGAGAGTTGGACTATAAGGAAGGCCGAGCGCCGAAGAATAGATTCTTTTGAACTATGGTGCTGGAGGAGACTCTTGAGAGTCCCTTGGACTGCAAGAAGAACAAATCAGTCAATCCTCAAAGAAATCAACCCTGACTGTTCCCTGGAAGGCCAGATAATGAAACTGAAGCTCAAATACTTTGGCCACCAAATGAGAAGGGAGCACTCACTGGAAAAGACCCTGATGCTGGGAAAGATTGAAGGTCAAAGAAGACGGGGACGGCAAAGGATGAGATGGTTAGACAGTGTCAGCGATGCAACGAACATGAAATTGAGCCAACTTCGGAGGACGGCGGAAGACAGGAGAGCCTGGCGGGAGATTGTCCATGGGGTCGCGAAGAGTCGGACTCGACTGTGCGACTGAACAACAACAACAGGAGAAGGGATGGGACAGAGGTTTATGAAATTTGTGCATGGTATGTGACTCCAAAAGTATTTGAATTTTGGGGACACCCAATGAAATTGGTGGGTAGTAGGTTATGGACAAACAAAACGAAAATAATAATTAATGCATCACATAACTTGCAGATTTTGTGGCCCCAGAATGTGGCGATGGCGTTAAAAGAGGTTAGACCTATTTTTGTAGGATGGGATGGCTATGAGTAACAGTGATGAAATGGAGCCTCCATATTCACAGGCAGTATCTCTTCTTGTCAGTTGATGGTAGGGAAAAGGCTTTGGCTTCTTCCTTGCTGTGCATCTTCCAGTACCTCTGGTTGGATGCTGTTTGAAATAGAATGCTGAGCTTGATGGATCATTGGTCTGATCCGGCAAAGGTAGTGGGTTTTTTTTTTAATATGTTTTATTTAGGTGCCTTCAGACTATTCTTGGATTTAACTGAGCATATCATTTTAATCAGGGGTCATTTCGTAAAAAAAGAGCTAGGGGAACTCATTAGCATAACTCATTAGCATATGCCACACACCCTGACATCACCGGAAGTGTGTCATAAGGCCACACCCCCTGACATCACCGGAAGTGTGTCATAAGGCCACACCCCCCAATGAGGGCCGGAAGCGGGGCGGCCGGAAGCAGGGGGCGGGGCTTCGTCATGTGCCCCGCCCCCCGTACCTCACCCAGGGGAACTGCGTTCCCTCGCGTTCCCCCCCCCCGAAATGACCTCTGATTTTAATTGTACATCGGAAAATCTCTCTGAGATCTTTTTTCCGACAAGCAAAAGGTAAAAATGCCAGTTTAAGCGATAAAAGCAATCTACAAATTGCACATTCTGCTTCTGTTCCTCAAAGGTCGTGCCGGTCGTGTTTCAAAAGGATACTGCTACAGGCTAGTATACAAAGACTTCTGGGCAGACTGCATACCCGATAGCTCTGTTCCTGAGATGTTGGTAAATGTCACCTGTAGTGTTTGTGTATTTGAGACTGGACATGTAGTTTTTGCATGAGGTGGTATAATACAACCATTGTTGTTCATGATAAGGATGCTCAACCCCCCCCCCCCCCCGGTATCCCACTATCAATCCTGGTCAACCAGGTATTGGAGGTTTTGGTCATGCTTCAAAAGCCTATAAAAGCTCTTTGTCCATAGACAATGATGAAATGAAAAAAAAGAGTGTACACTGTAGGCATTGCTCCATATTTTTAATGGGGTAGTAACACCTGACTTGGATAACCCTGGCTAGTCAAATCTCGGAAGCTAAGCAAGGATATCCCTGATTAGTATTTGAATGGGAGACCACCATGGAAGTAGGGTTGCCAGCCCCCTAGTGGGAGCAGGGGAACGTGAGCTTTCACAGGCTCTTGCCCGTCGCTGGCCAGTGGGGGGAAATCCTGCCCCCAAATGACCTTTTCGGGCCTACTTCAGGTTTTGGGCCAACCTCCGTTTCAGGCCTACTTCTGATTTGGGAGACACACACACACACACACTCCCTAGTTTTTGGGCAAAACTCTATGGTTTGAAGCCAACTTTACCATAGAATTTTGCCCAAAAACCAGACTGTCACCCCTGACTGGAAATAGGTCCGTAAATGCCCAACATCACTTCTGGTCTCCTGGAAGGAGGTTGGGAGACCGCGGTGGCCAAGTAAGTCAACCTGGCAACCCTACATGATGAAAATTCAGGATTGCTACACAGAGGCAAGCAATTCACTTCTGCTCAGAATTTCTTACCTTGAAAAGATGAATGACAAGAAGGAAAAGATTCAACCATTTTCTCTCTTCTGCTCCCAGTTCCAGCCTTTAATGGTTTTTATTGAAAGAGAGAAATCAGTTGTTGAACTAATATTGATGCACATTTCCGGTATTGTATACTTTGGTGTAAACAGCATGTAGACAGTTCCCACCAGCTGCTTGACTGTTGTCAGTCTCTTAATTAGGGATGGGCATGAACCAGATCATGAACTAAAATTCATCATGAATTTTGGCTGGTTTGTGGTTCGCAAAGCAATGTTCGTGAACTGAAAAGCCGCCATGAATGTCCATGAATTTTATGCAGTTTGTGAAGAGCAGAAAGCAGTAGTTTAAATGGCTCTGAGAAATTTAAACCCCTGCTTTCTGCTCTTCAGAAAAAAACAGCTGAGTGGCAGGGAGCAGCAAGTAAGGGTTTAAATGGCTCTGAGCCATTTAAGCTGCTTTCTGCTCCCCGATGCTCACCTGTTCAGTTTAAATGGCTCAGAGCCATTTAAACCACTGTTTTCTACTACCCACAAAAAGCACCATGGATATCGGTTCATGGTTTGGCTCATGGTTCAACCACGAACTGCACCAAACTGCAGAAATGTGGATCATGCCCATCCCTACTCTTAATAAAAGCCTGGTGAGGGTGTGTTGTATTTTTTTTTTAATGGGAGTTTGTCCACTGGTTGCCATTTTGTTTCATCCTTTCAGCGCTGCCCATTGGAGAATACTGTGCTAAAGGTAAAGCTACTTGACATGGGAGAGCCCAGAGCTTTGCTGGCGACAGCCCTGTCTCCACCCAGTATCAGTGATATTGAACGCACCATTCTACTGCTCAAAGAGGTAGGTGCTTCTCCCTGCATTTTATTTTATTTCACACCTTTGGGTGATGCCTTTCTGCCCAAATAGGGTCTCTAAGGCAGCAGGCTGTGAACAGCAAGGCAGTAAAACACTTAATATATATATAGAATAATCAATGATACCAATAAAAACATACAAACAGAATGCAAGGAGAGAGAAGGGAAGAAGGTTTTTATACTCTGCTTTTCTCTACCTTAAGGAGTCTCAAAAGCCGCTTACGATTGCCTTCCCATCCTCTCCCCACAACAAGCACCTTGTGAGGCAGGTGGGGTTGAGAGAGTTCTGTGAGAACTGGGACTGGCCCAAGGTCACCCAGCAGGTTTCGTGTGGAGGAGGAGTGGGGATTCAAACCCAGATTGTTCAGATTAAGGGACAACATGTTGGGATGCGCAGAATGCTGGCTAGCACGTCAGTGCCCAAAGTGAGTTAGAGTACCCAAAGAAGACTGGAGTCCACAGCTTAGGTGCAAACACACAGTGAATTTATTCACACCCAGCTTCACCAATATACAGTTCTCAGTGTCAAAGTGCTCCACTGCAACCAATTCAAGTGAGAGAAAAAGTACACTGTACACCCTTTACATATATACATCCATCAGCCAATCAGCACACAGCTGATGCAATCCTGGTGTAATACTTCAGTGCCAAGCTGGACTGCTTCAAACCGGTTAGAGCCAGCCTCTTTTGCAGCTTCTAGCTGTTACTCACTCTGACACTAGATCAAACTCATCTAGGCCAGCCTTACCTATAACATGTGAATCACAACACAACAAAGGTTTACCTGGGTTGGAGTGGTATGCCAAAAAAAATAAAAAATCTTCACCTGCTGGCAGAAGACAATGACCAAGGGAGACAGACAAATCTCCCTGGGGAGAGAGTTTCAGATTTTTGGTGCCACAACTGAGAACGACCTTTCTTGGGATGCCATGCCCTTACCCTCAGCTGGTGGGGGCACTGAAAGCGATGTCTCTGGAGATGACCATTGTCAGCTAAGACAGCTGTAGTTAGGCTTACCAGGTGGTCTTGTTTTAACTGGGCAGCCCCCAAAAGCAGACAGGGTCCCTTGAAGGAAAAAAAGTGGTGTGACCGTATTGGTGAACTTCAAGTCAAGTCCATCGGCAAGAACATCTGCAATACCGTGTCATGTCATAAAAAAAGATAAGCACATAATATGTTTCAAAAGAGTTCCTGGAGAATAAAGGTAAAGGTAAAGGTTCCCTTGCTCGAAAGCCAGTCGAGTCCGACTCTAGGGATGCGGTGCTCATCTCCGTTTCAAAGCCGAAGAGCCAGCGCTGTCCGAAGACGTTTCCGTGGTCATGTGGCCGGCATGACTAAACACCAAGGCGCACGGAACGCTGTTACCTTCCCACCGAAGTGGCACCTATTTATCTACTTGCAATTTCTTGCTTTCGAACTGCTAGGTTGGCAGGAGCTGGAACTAGAGACGGGAGCTCACTCCGTCATGCGGCACACTCGGGTCTCGAACTGCTGAACTACCGACCTTCCACAGCCTGCAGTTCAGCGTCTTAACCCCTTGAGCAGCACTGCGGGGTCTCCTGGAGAGTAAGGCCACGTAATACACCGGAAACTGAGATGTTCCACGTGATCACTACTCAGATCACTTCCTGGTTAGCTTGGTAGCCTACAAGCTGTGCAGGCCTAGTATTAGCTTGTGGGAGTGATGTTTGGGTATTTCTTTTTCTAAGCAAAAACTTAGTTTCAGTCCTCTTGGCTGTTGATAAATCAGTCAGTATCCTCCTCACTTTTGTTTTGGTATAGATAGGAGCCCTTGCGGTCGGTGTCCCTTCTGATGACGCAAATCCTTACGATGGTGAGCTGACATTCCTGGGAAGGGTGTTGGCACAGTTACCCGTAGACCAGCACCTTGGCAAACTCATAGTCCTTGGCAATGTCTTTGGGTGTCTGGAAGAATGTCTCATAATAGGTAAGCGAGCTGACAGGTTTGGGAGCAAGTGGAATTAACCTGTCTGCCTATTGGCCATAATGCCTAGTTAGGTTGATGGGTTTTGTTTTGTTGCCAGAATATCCAAAGAACACAGTTGCAAGGTTATAAATAACAAAGACAAGGCCGTATTTTCAGTCTGAAGACTGACAGCATGGAGAGTACAGAAGGGTATGAATATTTGGCCAGAGGTGGGGGGATACTGGCGTACCTTACAGGGCTGTTTTAAACATGATCTATTTGAAGTGCTATAAATGCTTAAATATGTTATATATGTTCTCTTACCGCTGGGATGCTCTGACCTAGATAGCTCACCTGATCTTATCAGCTCACGGGAGCTAAGCAGGGTTGACTCTGGATAGCCTTTAGATAGGAGACCACCAAGGAATACCAGGGTCTCTATGCAGAGGCCTGCAGGGCCTGCAAGACGGAGCTCTTCCGCCAGGCTTATGAGTAGGAGCCGCCACGGCCACTTACACCACCGCGCCTTTTTAGAGAGAGACCACTGGGGGGATTGAGCAACATCTTTCCATCACCCCAGCCAGTAAGAGGTGAGAGGTGTGAGGGGGAGTTGGTGTGAGGGAGTGGTGATGCGGTGGATGTTTCTTCAGGTTCATAAGGGAGGCACACATCAAAATGGCTCCTAGACATGTCCTTTACTATCTCCCACAATGTGAGAAGTTAAATAACCTAATAACCTAATAAAGGAAACCAATTTGGGTTATATTTCCATTGTGGGTGGGAGTGTGGCTAAGCTGGGCATCCCTGATGGATTAAAGTACCCTGGTCCTGCTCCTACATTTAAGAACATAAGAACATAAGAGACGCCAATGTTGGATCAGGCCAAAGGCCCATCCAGTCCAACACTCTGTGTCACACAGTGGCCAGAAATACCAGTGCCATCAGGAGGTCCAGCAGTGGGGCCAGGACATTAGAAGCCCTCCCACTGTTGACCCCCCCCAAGCACCAAGAAGACAGAGCATCACTTGCCCCAGAGCCCCTAGCTATACCTTGTGGCTAATAGCCACTGATGGACCTCTGCTCCATATGCTTATCTAATTCCCTTTTGAAGCCGTCCATGCTTGTAGCACCCACCACTTCCTGTGGCAGTGAATTCCATGTGTTAATCACTCTTTGGGTGAAGAAGTACTTCCTTTTATCCGTTCTAACCCGACCGCTCTGCAGTTTCATGGAGTGCCCACGAGTTCTTGTATTGTGAGAAAGGGAGAAAAGTACCTCTTTCTTTACCTGCTCTTTCCCATGCATAATCTTATAAACCTCGATCATGTCACCCCTCAGTCGTCTTTTCTCCAAGCTAAAGAGCCCTAAGCGCTTTAACCTTTCCTCATAGGGAAAGTGTTCCAACCCTTTTATCATTCGAGTTGCCCTTTTCTGCACTTTTTCCAAAGCTATAATATCCTTTTTAAGGTGTGGTGCCCAGAACTGCACACAGTATTCCAAATGAGGTCTCACCATTGATTTATATAGGGGCATTATTATATTGGCTGATCTGTTTTCAATACCCTTCCTAATAATCCCCAGCATAGCATTGGCCTTCTTTATTGCAGTCACACACTGTCTCGACATTTTCAGTGAGTTATCCACTACAACTCCAAGATCTCTCTCTTGCTCAGTCTCTGCCAGTTCAGACCCCATCAATGTGTATTTATATTTAGGATTTTTGGCTCCAATGTGCATCACCTTGCACTTGGCCACATTGAACCCCATTTGCCATGTTGACGCCCACTCGCCCATCCTTGACAGATCCCCTTGGAGTGCCTCACAATCCTCACTGGTTTTCACCACCCTGAACAACTTTGTATCATCCGCAAATTTAGCCACTTCACTGCTTACTCCCATCTCCAAATCATTAATGAACAAGTTAAAAAGCAGTGGACCAAGTACTGATCCCTGCGGTACCCCACTGCTTACCACCCTCCACTGAGAAAATTGCCCACCTACACTCACTCTCTGTTTTCTATGAACTAGCCAGTTTTTGATCCATAAAAGGACTTGTCCTTCTATCCCATGATTTTTGAGCTTACTTAGGAGCCTTTGATGAGGAACTTTATCAAAAGCTTTCTGGAAGTCAAGGTAAATAATATCTATTGGATCCCCCTTGTCCACATGTTTGTTCACCCCCTCAAAGAACACTAACAGGTTAGTGAGACAAGATCTTCCCTTACAGAAACCGTGCTGAGTCTGCCTCAATAGGTTTTGTTCATCTATGTGCCTACTAATTCTTTCCTTAATAATGGTTTCCACCAATTTACCCGGTATCGACGTCAGACTGACTGGCCTGTAATTTCCCGGATCTCCTCTGGAACCCTTTTTAAAGATGGGAGTGACATTAGCTACCTTCCAATCCTCAGGAATGGAGGCAGATTTTAAGGAAAGATTACATATCTTTGTCAGGAGATCTACAAGTTCACATTTGAGTTCTTTCAGAACTCTCGGATGTATGCCATCTGGGCCTGGTGATTTTTCAGTTTTTAAGTTGTCTATCAGTTTTAGGACCTCCTCTCTCGTCACCTCAATCTGACTCAGGTCTTTCAACACCCCTCCTGAAATCAGTGGTTCTGGAGTGGGCAAGCACTTCTCATCTTCCACAGTGAAGACGGAGGCAAAAAATGCATTTAGCTTCTCAGCCATTTCCCTATCATCCTTCAATACTCCTTTTACCCCTTGGTCGTCCAAGGGCCCCACTGCCTCCCTGGCTGGTTTCCTGTTTCTAATGTATTTGAAGAAAGTTTTATTGTTGGTTTTTACGTTTTTTGCTATATGCTCCTCATATTCCCTTTTTGCCTGCCTGACCTCAGACTTGCATTTTATTTGCCATAGCCTGTGCTCCGTTTTATCAGCCTCACTGTGACTAGCTTTCCACTGCTTAAAGGAATTCTTTTTACTTTTTACAGCCTCCATTACTCTGTTTGTTAACCATGCAGGCTTTTTCCTATACCTGTTTGTGCCTTTCCTAACCTGCGGAATATATATTTTTTGTTTCCACCGCCACCAGTGCTGGAATAATAGTAGGTAAATTATAGCAAAACTTTCAACATATCCATTGCTATATATGAGTATGCATGTAGATTAGGGGAAAGTTCTGTGGTTCATTGCGAGTGACATCACAGACTCTGTCCAATATGCACTGAGACGTCTTCATGGGCACCTTCCATACAATATCTACAGTTGTAGTAAACAGCATATCGGTTGCAGGGGAAACGGTGCATTTTCTCAGCAATGCAATATTTTGAGTGCTGTCCCCACTTTCTGGGAAGAAACATGGGATGATGCTGAAGAGCTAATGGCCAACTACTGTAGGGTTTATTCTGTGACAGTTTTTTTCATCCAAATAAGTTATTTTTTCAGGGTTCTTCCTTGATTATTTGTCCCATAATTTACACTAAAAATAATACTATTTGTTTCTCTGATAACTTACGTGATTAGCTATTGTCTGATTAATATCTGTAAGTGGATCTGGGTCTCTTTTGTGAGGGGAAAACAAAATCCATAAGTTCAGAACTAAACTTCCATTTCTCTTTTGCAGCTGCAGCCCTTTCCTTCAACAACTTCTTTGCGATACCTTTCAGACAACACCTTGATGGATACAGGTAGTTTTTCTCAGGTTGTCCCCTGGTTAAAGAGTGTTGGGAAAGTTGGCAAAATAGTTAAATATTCAGAGATTGCAATGGATCTTTGCCTCACTGGAGAGGAGGCATTTTCTTCTATGTAAAAATCTTTATTTCTAAGGGAAGGGTTCACAGGAAATCTACAAAACAACAAAGACACCTAAGACTACATCTTTACACTTTGACCACATGGTCTACAACAATGGAGATTCTTCTTCTTCTTGACCCCTAGAAGGAAATCACCTGAATGCATTAACCAGTGATTGTTAGTAAATAGGCTTCAGTTTCCCGGGCTCTCTTCCCATTGGCTCTGTGCCAGGTTCCCTTCCAGGTCAGTCTAAACAATAGCACACAGGGTAAACACACATTAACCCTATAATGACTGAATTTTAGACCTTGCAATACACACATTTCCAACAAAGAGAATGGATTATTCCCATGAATTGACTAAATGCGCACATGAATAAAAGCAGTGGTTCTGAAGGCAGTGGCATACTTTGTATATTGCAGTGGCTATGATCTTAGAAGAGGTATCCCCACTTGTTTGAGAAAGAAGGGGAATACCTCTTCTTACTGGCACCCCTTCAGGTTCTTTTTTTAAAATACTTGTTGTCTATCACATCTGATCCCGACCTTCCCTCCAAGGATCTCAGGGTTGTATACATCTTTCTCTTTCCTCCACTTTTTCCTCACAACAACCTCCTGAGGTAGGTTAGGCTAAGAGAGGAATGAAGGGGGTATGTCTGTCTTTCCAGTGTTAACCAGTTTTTTAAAATGATGTTTACATCTATATTACGTACACGTATTTTTAATGATGTTTACATATATATGCCCTGAGTTGGATAGCCCAGGCTAGCCCAATCCCCTCAGAGCTTGATAGCTAAGCGAGGTTGGGCCTGGTTAGTACTTGGAGACCACCAAGGAAGACCCGTGTTGCTACACAGAGGCAGGCAATGGCAAACTACCTCTGAATGTCTCTTGCCCTGAAAACCCTACGGGGTTGCCATAAATCAGCTGCGACTTAACAGCATCTTTCCACTACCACAGCTTTATACATACTTATGTCTGCCTGGTAAGGATTCACTACACATATCTGATGAAGTGGGCTCTAGTGCACAAAAGTTTATGCTTGGATAAAATCTTGTTTGTCGTTACCACCACAAGACTCCTGTTTATTTTGCCAGCCAAAGTCTAACACTGCTGCCCCTCCGAAATTAAATAGGCCAGGGTCACCTAGTGTGCTTTGATTTGCAGTTTTTAAAAAACCTTTTGCCCAATTAACCATGGGGGGTAGCTCTAATGTTTTACGTTTAGAGAACGTACAACTAGGAACAGCACCAATCTCTCTTTTTTTTTAAAGACCCCCGAGGGGGATTTTTTTATTTTTTATAATAGTACATAAACTACAAAGAAAAAAAGGGAAGGGGAGCTACAACTAAGGAGAAAGAAAAGTAACTCACACTAAACTAAAAACTCAAGAGTAGGAGGTCATTACCCTGTCAGACTGCAGTTAGTAATGGGGGGGGGGAGAAATCTGTTAATAAACAATATACTTTGTGAGATCCTGTCTTTCTAAGCTTATGTGTTAGTTTATTACTTGTTATGAGAAGATTTCCAGAGCACCAATCTCTTCCTTTCTCCTTGCTGCCTGCCACCAAGGTTGATTCTTTTTTTCTTTGACGGAATTTTTAAAAAAATATTATTTATTTATTATTTGTATTTATAGCCCGTCCATCCTGCAAGCGGGCTCAGGGTGGGTAACACCATAAAAACAGTACAATAAATATGATTAAAATTAAACAAGTTAGAAAATTTAAGCAATAATAAATATTAAAACTCAATCACACTTCTGACTGTCACTGGTTGTACAGTTCTTTAGCATATTATTTGGATTAATAGATGGATAGGTGACAGCCACCTCAGGGAGGCCATATAGAGACGTCTGCTGCCTCAACCAAAGGCCTGGCAGAACAGCTCCATCTAACAGGCCCTGCGGAATTGAAGATCCCGCAGGGCCCTAATCTCGACTGGGAGCATGTTCCACCAGTCAGGGGCCAGGGCAGAAAAGGCCCTGAGCAAGACGGGACATCCTTTGGGCCAGGGACAATCAGGAGATGTTGACCCATCGAGCGTAGCACTCTTCGGGGTGTATATGGGAAGAGCCGGTCCCCCAGATATGTGGGTCCCAGGCCGTATAAGGCTTTGAAGGCAATTACCAGCACCTTGAAGCGAATCCGGAAGTCAACTGGCAACCAATGCAGTTGGCGAAGCACCTGCTGGATGTGAGCCCACATTGGAAACGTGACTTGTCTTGCTTGTGTTTTTATAACATGCCTGATACCCTACCCTACCCTTTCATTTTTTATTTGTATTTTGGAAAGCAGTGTGTTAGCAAATACTTAAAAGCAATAACATTTTTAAACAGCAGCTATGTAACACCCCTACCTTTTTAAAAATCTCTTGTGACAAATTTATCGATTTGCAGGAATAAGCTGCATTTTTCTGGGAACAGCAAGAGCGATTGCATTGCGCTCGTCATGGCATTTAAGGTAATCTCACCCCTCCACCCTCCCCACCTCTAGCAGGGATGCCAGGGAAAGTTAAGCAAGCCTCAGGGTTTTCACATTGTATTGCCATCTGGCTGATAATGTGGGAGGGTTTTACGGTTACTGCAGACTGTGGCAGATAGTTGCTACTATTTAAATAGCACTGGGGTGGGGTGGGGGAGAGATAGAGAGAGAGAGATGGGCAAGAGGATCTATGGGGGCAGGGGGGCAAACCAGGACAGGAGGAAAGACTGCATTTGTAAGGGCAGCATGTGTGCAAGACTGAATTGGGAGACTGGCTTTTATAGAGAGGCTTGTTTGTAACAATCCTGCGCTGCTGTGTTCCCTGCACTTTAGAGTCTCTGATTCCAAGTACAAATTACTGTGCATATCTCAAATTTCCTCCTCTCTCTGTTAATTTCAGGAGTGGCAGGAAAGCAGGCAAAAAGGAAAGCTCAGGCATCCCAAGGTTAGCTCTACTTTGCGGTTTAGGGCTCAGTGTGGCCTATTCAATTGCGAGACCAGAAAGTTGATTTTGCTGTGGTGATTCTCTCCCCCCCCCCCCACCTTCTTCCTCCGCCAGGGTTGGTGTTTGTTTTTTTTTAAGTTAAAGGTAGGAAGAAAGGCTCCATCTTTCCAATTAGGCTCTTCATTATGACGCCTGGACTGTCCTGTAAGATGGAGTGCCCACATGAGATTTCCTCCATGTAGTGGTCTCTGGGCAAAGATGATCTTATGGCCAGGGGCAGGGAGAATCTCTGCAGTAATGGAAGGAACAGTGGCACACCATGATTGGCTTGCTTGTTTCCCGATGCCCCCTTTTGTCGGAATTCTGGAACGCTTCTAGTAGTGGTGGAGGCACATGAATCCAAGTTCTCGGGTGGACCCCGGAAGGGCTCTCTGGAGGGAGGGTCACTATAGGTGTCGGCAGGTGCCATGGTGCCCACAGGAGTTTGGTATAGTGGTTAAGTGCGTGGACTCTAATCTGGGAGAACCGGGTTTGATTCCCCACTCCTCCACTTGCAGCTACTGGGTGACCTTGGGCAAGCCATAGTTCTGGCACAGCCGTTCTTGAAAAAAGAGCAGTTTCTGTCAGAGCTCTCTCAGCCCCACCTACCTCACAGGGTGTCTGTTGTGGGGAGGGGAAGGGAAAGGAGTTTGTAAGCTGCCCTGAGACTCTGAGTGAAGGGCGGGGTATCAATCCAATTTCTTCTCTTCTTCTTCTTCTTCTGTTGTGAATTACAAGAAGCATGGTTTTTAATAATTGCCAAATTTTTTCCAGGATGAACTTGATTGGGGCCGTTCCAAGTATATTCATATAAAACGAATTAGAGAGGTAAGCTCAACAGGTGTCTTGGCTCTCCCCCCACCCCCAGCTCTGTTCCCCTCCCCTCTCTCCCTATGTCTCACACAACGGACTTAGGGCAACTCCTCGTGGTTTTAGAAAGGAGAAGTGAACAGAGGAGGTTTGTCATTGGTTCCCTCTGTGTAGCACCCCTGGACTTCCCATCCAAGTACTAACCAGGGCTGACCCTGCTTAGTTTTTGAGATCGGACAAGACTGGATAACCTGGGCCAGGGATAGATCTATATCTGTATCTATATATAAAATCTGCAGATCAGGTCAGGGATTTCTTATATAAAACACACAAAAAAGCTCTCCCATTAGAACGCCGCCTAACCTAGCAAACAGGAAGTTGCTTAAATGCCCAAACTGCTTATTTATTCAGATATTTATATCCCACTTTCCCCTGTGACTCGAGGCGGCTTATTCATATTGTTATATATTAATATTATTCATATTAATCATATTGAAAAGCATAATAGGGGTGTGCCAAAAAATTGTTTTTTCCTAGCTCAATTATAGCCTATGGGGATGTGGGTGGTGCAGAAAGCGTCAACGTTCCTGGTAGCCGTTATGGTGGCACTCCTAGCTGCACCCACCACCCGGCACCATCAGGAAAAGGGGATTTAGGCAGTTTGGGCAGAAGAATGATGCATAGGTAGGTGGGCGGGCAAGAGGGGAGCTAGTAGTGGGCATGGGGGGACATGGGCACTTTCTGCCCAGGGCACCCCTCTCCGGAACTGGGCCTGACTACCGGTAAATACAGAGTGCTTTGTCCTTTTTTTCTTTAACCAAGCAATCTTTCATATGTGTATTTTTGGTAGCCTGCAAAATTATGGATAACATTAGAGTGAAAACTTCTTTTAGGTGGCTGAACTGTACGAGGAGTTGAAAAAGAGAGTCAGCGAATTCAACATGCATGTTAACCCGCAACCCCCTGCCATGGATCGTGACTATGTGTATAAGCAGCGCTTCATTTTGCAGGTATAGGATGCACTTAGATGTACAAAGTGCAACTTATTTATTTATTTATTTTATTGAATTTCTACCCTGCCCTCCCAGCCAAGGCCAGCTAATGTCTCCTAAAGATCTGTGAGACTTTACGATTTTTTTAAAAAATGCTCCTCTGGGTAGCTTTTGTGTTAATCTAAGGAGCTGCGGTGGCTCAAGTGGTTAAGACGCTGAACTGCAGGCTGTGGAAGGTCAGTAGTTCAGCAGTTCGAGACCCGAGTGTGCCGCATGACGGAGCGAGCTCCCATCTCTAGTTCCAGCTCCTGCCAACCTAGCAGTTTGAAAGCAAGAAATTGCAAGTAGATAAATAGGTACCACTTCGGTGGGAAGGTAACAGCGTTCCATGCGCCTTGGCATTTAGTCATGCCGGCCACATGACCACAGAAACGTCTTTGGACAGCGCTGGCTCTTCGGCTTTGAAACGGAGATGAGCACCGCAACCCTAGAGTCGGATTCAACTGGCTTTCGAGCAAGGGAAACCTTCACCTTTACTAATGAGCATTCAGTGTCCGTGTAGTTTTGTAATTAAGAGTACAAGAAGCTGAAAATGTTGTCTTTTGTTTTTATCCTGGGTATCCGCAGTTGTCTTTTGTTTTTATCCTGGGTATCCGCAGAGCCCCATCACAATTACCAGAGAAATAAGGAAGAGCACAATATCATTTCAGTCAGTGTTGCTTTACTGTGGGCCAGCGGTCCAGGGGGATACATTTTTTGTGCAGGGCACCTAAGAGAACCACAAAACGTCAGGAGAAGCTAGTTTGGGATCATTTGGTTGATGTGATATTTATTTAATTGATTTCTACACTGTCTTCCTGTTTAGAAGAATCCCTTTGTGTGGCTTAGGTGAGATAATAAAAACGCAGACAAATTGGTTTGCTTTTTCCGCCTGCTCTGATTCCCAATCACACGTACATCCCCACAGTGGAGAAAATGGGTTTCTAAGAGAGAATTGTGACTCCTGCCGTTTGTCTTCTCTGATTCCTCAGGTCGTAATGGCTGGTGCTTTCTACCCAAATTACTTTGCTTTGGGGCAAAATGATGAAGAAATTGCTGCAAGGGAGCTGTCAGGCAAGGATCCCAAAACAACAGTTATGGTAGGTTAATTTCGTTCAAGCAGCCCAGTTTGCACGTGGTAACCACTGCCATAGCTTGCACTTTTTTGTGCTTCAGGGCCAAGATACATGATATACCTAACATGAGCAGGAAAGACTTGTCTCACAGTCTGTCGCGCAGTGTGCGTCACCGGGTCAGCTCTCAGCTTAAGATCAAAATAGCACTCTGCTTCCACTTCAGTAAACCACACTCACACAGTTCTTGTGGTTAACTATATACAGTGATTTATTTTCATATATACAGCTCTCTCCGTCAAAGTGCTCCGCCATACGCTCATACAAGAAGAAGGAATATACTGTACAGACTACATACACTTATATACACTGACCACCCAATCAGCTTACTGCTGAGTCACTGTGAGACAGCTCAGCTTAGCTCCAGTCAGAACCGGTTTGTGCTGGTTCTCCAGACTGTCAGACATCTGTCAAATAGATTGGCATGATCACACATACTGAAGCCTTATGACATTCAACAAGACTGTGGCTTAGTGGTTTGAACTGGAGCGCGGTAATAAAAAGTTTGGATGGCAGGGTCATAGGCAGGATTTTCCATTTTGTGGGGCAAATCTGTTTCTTGGGGGGTACCCATTATGCTTATACTTAAAAATAATAAATAACTGGAGCCTGAGAAGGACAGGGTTTGGAGAGGGGAAGGACTTCAATGCCACAGGATGTACCTGGAGATCAGGTGTAATACCAGAGGATCTCCAGCCGACTTCACCTGATAGAATTTGAAAGATATGCTGTCTTAGATAGGTTATTATGTTTGCCGCAAGGGTTCTGATGGGACCCTAGACAATGCTGCTATCTTAAGAGCTTTTGTGCCCACAAAGAAAAATTATTGCCCCTTATGTCGTTTATATAAACATCACGATCCTTGAAAAAGATTAATTTAAAACAGGTAAATGACTAGAGTCCCGTGGGACTAGTAATAGTGTTACTGACAAGGGGCTGTCTGAATGTAAACCTGCACTCGATGTATTGTTTGGGTGAAACATTTTTTTCTATGTATTGTTTGGGTGAAATATATTTTTGATAATATTTGATACCAATATTTAGACAGTATTGAAAAATATCAAAAGAAAAAGAATAAAGCATAAAATTAGTTGCTGTAGATTTTCCGGGTTGTGTGGCCATGGTCTTGGCATTGTAGAACCTGACGTTTCGCCAGTAATTGTGACTGGCATCCTCAGGGTTATAAACACAGAAAGATGGAGTACTCTCTGTGTCAAAGTGAGAAGAAAATGGTAGGCAGGTAATTTATATCTACTCCAGAAGGTGGAAACAATCCATATACAAAAGAACCTCCTCAGGAAAGTTCCTCCAGTAGCATGTTCATAGCCCGGGGAACTCCTACAAGATAATGACTCAGCCCTACCCCACCTTCTGGAGTAGATATAAATTACCTGCCTACCATTTTCTTCTCACTTTGACACAGAGAGTACTCCATCTTTCTGTGTTTATAACCCTGAGGATGCCAGTCACAATTACTGGCGAAACGTCAGGTTCTACAATGCCAAGACCATGGCCACACAACCCGGAAAATCTACAGCAACTAATTTTATGCTTTATTCTTTTTCTTTTGATATTTTTCAATACTGTCTAAATATTGGTATCAAATATTATCAAAAATATATTTCACCCAAACAATACATAGAAAAAAATGTTTCACCCAAACAATACATCGAGTGCAGGTTTACATTCAGACAGCCCCTTGTCAGTAACACTATTACTAGTCCCACGGGACTCTAGTCATTTACCTGTTTTAAATTAATCTTTTTCAAGGATCGTGATGTTTATATAAACGACATAAGGGGCAATAATTTTTCTTTGTGGGCACAAAAGCTCTTAAGATAGCAGCATTGTCTAGGGTCCCATCAGAACCCTTGCGGCAAACATAATAACCTATCTAAGACAGCATATCTTTCAAATTCTATCAGGTGAAGTCGGCTGGAGATCCTCTGGTATTACACCTGATCTCCAGGTACATCCTGTGGCATTGAAGTCCTTCCCCTCTCCAAACCCTGTCCTTCTCAGGCTCCAGTTATTTATTATTTTTAAGTATAAGCATAATGGGTACCCCCCAAGAAACAGATTTGCCCCACAAAATGGAAAATCCTGCCTATGACCCTGCCATCCAAACTTTTTATTACCGCGCTCCAGTGTCAATTAAATGGTGAAGTTCTAAGGCTGTGTATATATTGACATGCTCAGATATTGATGTGCTTTGAAATACCAACGCTGTACCTATATTTTTGTTTTAAACAGTTAAAGAGCATGCCCTCCTATGGCTTTCTCTACTATAAACAACTGCAGTCACTGTTTAGACAGTGTGGCCAAGTTAAAACCATTTCCTATGATGGAGCCAAGTAAGTCAACTTTTATAGTCTTCTAAGATTGACTGAACATGAATATGTGGTGTTCATATTTGGCGGCTTACTGGTTTTAGAGTGCTGGCATGTATATTAAAGTTGAAGATTAGTGACACTTCTGGGCTGTTTTATAATGAAATAAATAGAAGAAATGTTTTACGTCAGCCACCTTCAATTCTCTGTGGGGTACTTAGAAGTGTATTAATAAGTAGATAAAGTGGATAGTTGTAAACTGTTCTTTGCTTACAAATGCTGTGCGTCAGGTAGTAACAACATGAGGTTCTAAAGTGAAAAATCCCAAAATTTTCCCAGCTGCATTTTAATTTTGGAATTATGCTTGTTTCTAGAAGCATTATGGGGACTGTCACAATACTTTGTCACTTCTGATCACACATACCCCTCCCAAATTCTTCTTTTTAAACAGAGCTTTTATAGAGTTTTCCCGGAATCCAACAGAACGCTTTAAAACACTTCCTGCTGTGTACATGGCCCTGAAGATGGCACAACTGCGGAATCAATTTGAACTTAATGTACATTTGTCAGAAGAGATTGAAGAGAAAATGGACAGGGGATCAAGTATGATCGTGAGGGGCACACGGTATGGTATTACGTAGATGGGTTGGGTTCTGTAAAGAATGGGCAGTGATATATGATTCAGTTTTAGTTCTGTTTAGTGAAGTGTTCACAGCTGGGTGTTTGTGTGTTCCTAAAACAAGTCTGGATTTTGCAACCAGTATTGCAAATGAACCAAAATGTGCTTATAGCTCCTTAGTTTGCAGTGCTGGAGCCCCGCCCACTGAAAATCCTTTTCGGCCCACCATGTGGCTTTGGAGGCTTTGTCCATACCCCCTTTGAAGCCATTATAGTAATAAGGACTAGAAACATCTTTTTAAAAAATGAGAGAGCAGGGTGCTGAATTCACGAGAATATAAGCGAAACCAATGTTGGATCATGCCAATGGCCCATCCAGTCCAACACTCTGTCACACAGTGGCCAGAAATACCAGGTGCCATCAGGAGGTCCACCAGTGGGGCCAGGACACTAGAAGCCCTCCCACTGTTGCCACCCCCCAGCACCAAGAATACAGAGCATCAGTTGCCCCAGACCCAGAGTTCCTATCTATGCCTTGTGGCTAATAGCTACTGATGGACCTCTGCTCCATATGTTTATCCAATTCCCTCTTGAAGCCGTCCATGCTTGTAGCCGCCACCACCTCCTGTGTCAGTGAATTCCATGTGTTAATCACTCTTTGGGTGAAGACGTACTTCTTTTTATCTGTTTTAACCCGACTGCTCAACAATTTAATTGATTGCCCACAAGGTCTTGTATTGTATTGTATTCCACAGTGAGCACTGAATTTTTCTTAAATGGAATAGCACAGTACACCAGTGCCAAGACATTTTTTAAAAAGTATTCATTATTTGAATTATACTTCAAGTGAATGCAGTTAAACACAGGGTTGGTTTCTGTGAATGAGTTCCATACGTGCCAGATAGGGCTTTTCCACATTCACATTTTCCTCACCTGTGCGCTGCTGTTGCTCCCTGCATAAAAACCTGCAGGGGGATATGCGGGACATAACACAGTGTAATATTGAGTCAACCACTAGAGGGAGCAAAACTCAAGTGGAACAGGAACACCACAAAAGCAACAGGACCCCCCCCCCCCCCCAAGCAACAGAAACACATAAGTGAGGCAAATGAGAATGTGGAAAAGCTCATAGTCTCTGCTGCGGAGAACACTTCCTCTTCTGCTAGCAAAGGCCCATAGAAAAGAAGAGCAGAGGAAGCTTGCTTTGTGGTAGACAATGACTAGTTTGCGCAAAGATGTGAATGCTAAGAGAGTAATATGGATGCCTGGAACAAGGAAATCTCTCGGCAGTCCCCAGAACATGCTTTGTTGCTTTTCAAAATAGATTTACAAATAAAGTGGATGTACAAAATGAGAGAAAGCAAAAAACCCATGTAAACTCGCTACAACTTTTATGAAATGTATCAGTTAACTTTTTTAGAATTTATACCAGGCCTGTAGCCAGGATTTTTTAAATAGGGGGGGCTTTTTAAAAAGTCAGGTGGCACTGAAATTGGCGGCTTGGAGGCGCATGCGTGGCCTCCCCCCACTTCTCCCCCAAAGCATTTAAAGGGCTTGTAGTGCAGGCACGCGCGGCCTCCCCCGTGGCCTCCCTCCTTCTTCCTAAAAGTTGTGAGGCCTTGGGAGGAAGTCGGGGGGGGGGGTCCTCAGGAGGCCCGACCGTGGCTATGGGCCTGATTTATACCCTATTTTTCTCTCCAGCAGGGGGGTTGAAAACAGCTTACAATGTTCTTCACTTTGTCTCTACTTTATCCTCACAATAGCAACCCTGTGAGGTATGTTGGCTGAGAGAGAGTGACTGGCTTAAGGTCACCCAGCGAGCTTTCGTGGCAGATTAGGATTCAAACCTGGGTCTCCCAGATCCTAGTCCAGCATTCTAAGCACTACACGTCAGGCCGGCTCTCCCTATAAACACATTAGTTCACTGAAAAAAACCCTGTGATGTTCACATAGCAGGTGGAATAGAACATTGTACTTTGAATTACTTTGTGGTTCTTCCAGAAGTTAGTAAAGGGTTTTTCTCTCTCTCCAGTTGTTCACAAACGAAATTTTGGGGGGGTTTCTCTTCTACAGTGACCTAGTGGTGAACAGCTGTCTCCTGTAAACCACAGTCAGATGGATATCATGCTAGAATGCTTTTTAAGCCAAGTTGATTCCCCACTCCTCCTCCACGTGAAGATTGCTGGGTGACCCTTGGCCAGTCACAGTTCTCTCAGGACGCTCTCAGCCCCACCTACCTCACACGGTGCCTTTTGTGGGGAAAGGAAGGGAGGGCAATTGTAAGCCGCTTTGAGATTCCTTAAGGTAGAGAAAAGAGGGGTGTAAAAACCTTCTCTTCTTTATTGGAAAGAAACCTCCGTGCTGTTGGCTCACAGATTGCCTCTTGTGTTTCTGTTGTGTGGTTGCGCTTGTTTTTCTTTACTAGTGTGAAGGTGGATTTTCAGAAGCATACCGTGGCTCCCGTACAAAAGTTTTGCAGTACTTCAGAAAAATTGCAGACCATTACAAGCCTTGATTTGTCGATCAATGTCACAGAGGTAGGGATGTTTTTATACTAAAAACTATGCCACTAGTGGCAGTGGGGTCCTCTAAAAATAGGAGGTTTGGGCTTCAGCATTTGGGAATGGGTCGGTCCCCAGTCTGTTTCAGATAAAACTCTCTAGATCATTGATCACCAGCTTGGCGCCAGTGGGCCACCATTGTGCTCGCTGAGGTGTTTCCTGGCGCCCTCTAGCTTCTTCCCATAGATAATTATTTCCTAAACCAGGGGCCCCAACTTTTTTGAGCTTGCGGACACATTTGGGGTTCTGACACAGGGCGATGGGTGTAATCACAAAATGTCTGCCACAGGAGGTGGAGCCAGTCACAAAATGTCAGGGAGCCAAGTTACACATAATGAATAGTACCCCTTCTGCCTGACTCTTTAACAGGATCCCTTTTAATCTGCACAGCCAATCAGAAGCTCTGCTGAACAAAAGCCTCACCTAGCCCTACCCACTTTATAAAAGCTCTTGGCACGCACCAGGAAAATAGTTGACGGGCACCATGGTGCCCATAGGCACACCACGTTGAAAACCCCTGTCCTAAAGCAAAGAGCCCATTCTGGTTTTCCTCCACCTCCTTGGAGCAGAATGTCTTTCAGAAGACCACAGAAGTCATCAATCACCCTCTGGGTCCACCCATTCAGAAGTAGCTGCCTCCTGTCATGATGCGAGGCTAGGCAGGGGCAAGGTAGTCAGGATACAGTCCTGTCAGGTCCCCACAGCCACAACGAAGTACACACTTGTAGAAAGGTTTTACTTTAATTAAAGCTGAAGATGCATTGACAGGAACACTGTTAGGAATGACGAGGACTCAAAGAGCATGACAGGTTATAGTGCATTCAAACAAGCGAGGCCCAATTACGGGAGTTCCTGTGCACGCCATTAGGCCTGGGAGCAAACGGTACTATACAGCATAAACAGATATTCTTCCCACGGCACCTTCGTGAGATAACCCAAGCAACTATCCAGCAGCAAACCTCCTATGGCCTTGAGAGATACACGTTACTTTGATGAAGCAATTAAGTGCATAAACAGGAATGCATAGTAAAAACGAAAGTAGAAACAATTGGCAGGTTGCTGACAAGTCCAAGATCAAGAGCCAGTTAAGCAAGGTAGCTGGGAAACCAAGTCCAAGACACTAAGCAAAAGCGGGGTGGTCAAAGTACAGTCCAGAGTCAAGAGCCAGGCAAGCAAACCAACCGGGACATCAAGTTCAAATCACAAACCGTTAGAGTTGTCAGGGAGCCAGAGTCCAAAAGAGTCAAGCGCTAAGGAGTCAAAGGTTCAAGGTGCAGAGTCAAAGCGCAGTCGTTCAAGCCGAGGTTACAGGGCTGAGGGAATCCAGTCAGGAACAAGGAGTCAGGAACATGAGCGTGGAGGTGCAGAGCTTTCATCCAAAGAGACTAGTTGCTGGCACGATTTGTCAGCGTGAGTGCTAGAGTTAAATAGGCCATAAACCTGTCGGCAATTAGTGCGCCTTCAGCGAGTCCCAGCTCCTGCTAGTGCTCAAGGCTGAGTGAGCGTCTGCCACGCATGTGTGCCTCTCACTGCCTAGCTGCCATCTGCCGTCGGCGCTGTTCCCTTAAACGGGATACTGGTGGAGGCGAATCAGGAGGAGAACTGTCCGGGCGTGCTTCTGCCTCAGCTGTAGCTTCTGGAAGCTCAGCCCTGTCACGTGCAGGCGTTACCGGCATCGCGAGCTCATCCCCAGCAGCACTTAGATCCTCTGCTGGTAAAAGGCTCTCTGTGCAGAGTACAGAGCCCCTCTCTAGTGCAGGCATGAGTGAGTGGCAGAGGGACACTTTGGGCACAGTCTGCTTTCTTAGAAAGAAAAAGGACTTTATTCACTACTGCACAGTTTAATCATCTAGTGCGGGGTCCTCAACAGAAGAAGAGAGAAGAGAAGAGATTGGATTTATACCCCGCCCTTCACTCGGAGTCTCAGAGCAGCTTACAAACTCCTTTCCCTTCCCCTCCTCACAACAGGTGGGGCCGAGAGAGCTCTTTGCAGAACTGTCCTTGAGAGTACAGCTCTGAGAGAACTATGGCTTGCCCAAGATCATCCAGCAGCTGCAAGTGGAGGAGTGGGGATTCAAACCCAGTTTTCCCAGATTAGAGTCCGCGCACTTAACCACTACCCCAAACACCTGTGGGAGCTATGGCACCTGCCGACACCTTTCCTGCTGCCTGTCAAGTGTTTTTAAGAAAGTGGGTGGGGCCAGACGAGGCTTTTGCCCAGCAAAGCTTCTGATTGGCCACTGGAGATTTGACTGGCTGTGCCACCACAGCACAAGGATCTCCCGTGTGACTGAAGGGAAGCTTCAGCAGCCGTTTGTGGATACCACACCACACCACTGCAGATCTCAGAAAGGAAAGGAAGCACTTTGACGGGGTCTAACTTTAGAGTCGCAGTCATCACGTCAGCATCCCTCCTGGAGGGGAGATGGGAACAAGCACTGGACAAGCTTCAACTCTGTGAACAGTATGTCCAGATCTTCGTACCCTTCCTGCCCTAGTTTACTCAGCCCCGAGTTTGGGAGTTGATGAGGCCCACTCCTTCCCCCATGTATTTATTTATTTCCCATATTTGTATCCCACCCGTCCCGCAAGCGGGTTCAGGGCGGGTCACATCATCTTAAGTAATACAGTAAAATTTAAAACACAATAAAGGATTTACATTATAAACATTTAAAATCAGTAGTTACAGCTGCCAGTGGAAATTCCGACCCATGTATTGTATGTATAAACATCCAATATATGCAAATAATGTTTAATGAAAATATATATATTGTGTGTAATGTGTTAAATAAGCATAATCATATTATAGGTATCTACATGCATTATATAGGCAGTCAGATACATAATCTGATTACAGATTACGTTGCACAGAAACTAGCTACTTAGGTGGGAGAATAGTTGGACTGTTCCCTTTATATTCCTTTGTTACTTTGATTATGTATCTGATCGCCTATATGTGAATGTAAATACCAATAATATGATTATACTTATTTAACACATTACACACAATATATCTATTTTTATTAAACATTATTTGCGTATATTGGATGTTTATATATGGTGTTATATGTAGTTATATGCAGTCCCTTGGACTGCAAGAAGATCAAATCAGTCAATCCTAAAAGTAATCAACCCTGACTGTTCCCTGGAAGGCCAGATAATGAAACTGAAGCTCAAATACTTTGGCCACCCAATGAGAAGGGAGCACTCACTGGAGAAGACCCTGATGCTGGGAAAGATTGAAGGTCAAAGAAGACGGGGACGGCAAAGGATGAGATGGTTAGACAGTGTCATAGATGCAACGAACATGAAGTTGAGCCAACTTCAGAGGACAGTGGAAGACCGGAAGGCACTCATTCCACCATGATTCACCCTTTTTTAATTGTCACTCCTTCCCCCTGTCATGTGGAGCACATGTCTCACTATTGCCCAGCTTGTGTTTTACAGTAGCTGTCCATCTTCCTGGCAGTTGAGCAAATGCTTATCTCTTTGCAAGAAACTAATCTCCGCTCTAGTGGCAAAGAGCAGTTTATGGCCCTCTGCCCTGGGAAGGAGCATTGTTCCCAGAGCTTTGGGGACCCCTGGGTGAGCTTCAAAGCATCCTACATCTCCCAGCCATGACTATGCTTCCTGTCCGTTCTCAAAATTCCACAAGGGCCCACAGGTTCAACACTGTTGGAGACTACTGCTCTCGTTCCTGACCTTCATGTTGCAAGTGGGGTTGCCGTCTTATTGTGCATTCATTACCAAAAGGTCAGGTGGGGGGCAGCAGGCAAGGCCTCATTCCTAGGCTGAAGGCCACCCCAAGTCTCTAGGAGGAGCACCTAGGATATGTGAGGCATATGCAGCTAGAACTACATAATTGGAACTACAGTTCCCATGGTGCTCTGCTGGCTGGAACATTTCCTGTACTTGTGAATGTATCCAGCCCCTTTGGCCCACAAATTGGGCCTTTCCCTCCCCCTCACTAAATAAAGCAAGGCCAGAGGGTGGACCATTTGTAAACTTGAAGATCCAGGTCATAGAATCATAGAGTTCGAAGGGATCTCCAGGGTCTAGTCCAACCCCCTGCACAATGCAGGAAATTCACAAATACCCTCCCCCTCCACGTCCCCAGTGACCCTCCAGGATCCCTGGCCAAACCTGCCTGGAGAAAAATTGTTTCCTGACCCCAAAGTGGCTATCAGCAATTATTTCCCTGGGCGTGTAAAAAAGGGCCACACGAACTAAGCACTGAGGCAACCGTCTTCCTGCCTTCCCTCTCACGATCTTCCTCAGTTCACGGAATCAGCATTGCTGTCCGATGGCCATCTAGCCTCTGTTTGAAAACCTCCACAGAAGGAGAGCCCGCCGCCTCCCGAGTAAGCCTGTTCCACTGAGGAACCGCTCTAACTGTCAGGAAGCTCTTCCTAAAGTTTAACCAAAATTTGAACCCATTGGTTCTGGTCCGATCTTCTGGGCAACAAAATAACTCTGCACCACCCCTCTATATGACAGCCCTTCAAGTCCTTGAAGATGGTGATCATATCACCTCTGTGATTTATTTGAAAGCATAAGTCATCGTGATGATAGGTTGCCAACCTTCAGATGGGGCCTGGAGATCTCCCAGAATTACAGCTCTAGTCTCCTTTTTACATATTCCCTTGGAGAAAATAGCTTCTATGGAGGGTGGCATCTATGGCATTATAACCTGTAGAGGTCCCTTTTCCCCCCAAACTCCACCCTCCTCAGGTTGTATCCCCACATCTGCCAGAATTTCATAACCTGGAGCTGGCAACGCTACGATTGTGTTCATGTGAACTTGACCAAAAGCATATTGGAGCCGTGTCTTGAATCCTGCCAGGCCCTTTCTTCCTTCCTTAGGGGACTCTTCTGGAATTGTGCATTTCTGGCAATTGATTTTTCTTTCAGGTGGTGGAGGTTGGACACTTCTGGGGTTACAGAATCGATGAAAAAAATATCACTTTATTAAAAAATCTGTCTGCAGAGATCAACCAGCTAGACCTAAAGCCTCTTTCAGTCCGTCCCTATCCAGACTTGGTTTGTATGGCACCGTTTACAGAGTGGGGAAATGAAAAATACTACAGAGCCCAGATCCTGTACGTGTCTGGAGAGAGTGCTGAGGTACCCTTTTCATTCCTAATGCCAGAGTGTGGTGGTGGTTGTTTTAAAAAAATGGATCGGTGTTCTTAAAATATAATAAATACAACTTACAATTAAGTCATAAACTTATAAAGAAAGAACAGATCTGTCAGTCCATTGCATGTCATACTGGTCATTCATAAACGGATTCCATCATTACCAAAATATCTCTGAATGGAATTTTTTGCTTCCTAAAGGATGCGTTTTCCAATGCTGCGGAGTACACAGATTGTGTCTGTCATTCCCCCTTACCCAGTGTCAGATGTAACACATAAGTTGCAAGTTCTCCTAAATTCCAGTGAGTGTGGTGCATCATTAGGATCAGGACCACAGCTCAAATGACAAAGGGTCTTCAGTCCACCCCCCAGCAAGTCATTTTCCTAAATTAAAACAGTCCCATGGGATGCTGTTTGGGGAAAACTACATGCTACACATGGGTTTCCCCAATACTGCCCTCCCAGGACTATTTCCAGCTGTAAAACAGTGCCAGGGGAAGGCTGAAACCTCCTCTCCATGTGTACTATGGTCCTTCCGCTACTCCAGATTTTCTCAGGGCGATTTCTCACTAGAGCAGCGCCGTGTGCCCCGACACAAACATGTCAATTTCACACCCGAAGCTCCAGGGCTGCATTTTGACTCGGGGCTTCGCCCGATTTCCTCCGCAGTTTCGTGATCCTGGTTTTTGAGGATCATGAAACTGCGGAGGAAATGGGGCGAAGCCCTGAGTCAAATGCAGCCCCGCAGCCTCGGGTGTGAAATTGACATGTTTGTGTTGGGGCAAACAGCGCTGTGCTGCGAGGCAGCTCTAGTGAGAAATCGCCCACAGTGTTCGAGTTGAGGCAATTTAAGTTCAGGGCAAAACAGCATCTACATAACCCGGGGCAACAGCAGGCTGCAACCAGGCTGACCACTGAAGGGAGGGAATGTAATGCAGAATGGGGGGAAAAGCATGGAATAAAAAGAAGGTTGAACTCTTATTTTAGTGCAGAATGGGGGGGGGGGACTTGGATTAAAAAGAAGGTTGGATTTAATTTTAGTGCAGAATCGCCTTGAGGACACTGCGGTGAACATGGAGTAATGGGGTGTGTGTGTGCAGAAAAGGGCCTATGTTTCTGATCCTAAAAGGGCTGTGGTATTCCCTTCTTGAGGGGTGGTACCATGAAAGCTCATCCGCCTCAGAGGTGGGTCACCCTTTGAGCCTTCCTACTCAGTCCTCTTGTCACCTCGGCATTGTTGATGGAAAGTGCGGTCAAGTCTCAGTCCGACTTCTGGCAACCACATGGGGCTTTCGAGGCAAGAGGCGTTTCGGAGGCGGTTGGCTGTTGTCTGCTTCTGTGTCGTGCCCCTGGGCTTCCTCGGTGGCCTCCCATCCAAATACTACCAAGGGCTGAGCCCACTTAGGTTCCGAGAACTGACGAGAACAGTCTAGCCTGGGCCGTTCCGGCCAGGGCCTCAACGGCAGAAGCAGTTTAACAATATCCCCCTCCCCCCCAAAAAAAAACAACAACAACACCCCACCCTGTCAGCAAACATTTTAACAAGGAGAAGAGTTTGCAGGAAAAGACATCTCAAAGTAAGGTAAAGGTAAAGGTTCCCTTGCTCGAAAGCCAGTCGAGTCCGACTCTAGGGTTGCGGTGCTCATCTCCGTTTCAAAGCCGAAGAGCCAGCGCTGTCCAAAGACGTTTCCGTGGTCATGTGGCCGGCATGACTAAACACCAAGGCGCACGGAACGCTGTTACCTTCCCACCGAAGTGGTACCTATTTATCTACTTGCAATTTCTTGCTTTCGAACTGCTAGGTTGGCAGGAGCTGGAACTAGAGACGGGAGCTCACTCCATCATGCAATACACTCGGGTCTCAAACTGCTGAACTACCGACCTTCCACAGCCTGCAGTTCAGCGTCTTAACGGTAAAGAAAGTATATCGTGAGAGAACTCAGAGGAACATGACGTGTAGCTTTGTTAGGAGAGGAAGCCGTTGGACAAAAACTGATGCGGCGCAGGTGATGTCCTTTGCCACCTTTTTGAGCCCTTTTTGAACGCTGGATGCTTCAGCCTTCTGAATGCTGTTGCCTTTTCCTTCCCAATTCGATATGGATTGTGCTGATCAGAGAAGTCTGTCTATTCCTGTCAAGCGCGAGCTGTGCTAAGCCAACGCTCTCTAGGTGTGAGTCAACGCACGGCCACTGAGGACAGCTTAAATCATCTTTATTTAACTTCACACGTATTCAGAAGATCATTTACTCACAATCGACCAGATAGCTGGGTGGAAAGTTACATCTTGTGATCTAGGTCAGTTCTATAGCCGCGGTGAGAGAAGAGATGGGCTTCCCCTCTCCTTGCAGTAAGGGTTGATGGACAAAGAAACGGAAAAGAACAATAAAACTCCTATCTTTGCGCCTTTGAGCTCAGGAAATTACTCTTAATGAGCCAGTCAGAGGGAAGCTTCTGGGACCCCTAACTGTGGACTCCAATTCCCAGGGTGCAACTACTCTTAAAGGTACATTAAAGCTGGCTGGGGAAACACACTGTCTGTGGGCTTCTTGAAATAACATCCCTGTGGCAGCTGTGCTAATCAGTGAACCATGGGGGGGGGGGGCGTGCAGCAGCTGGCCGTGTCGATTGCCTTGTCACATATTAGGGAGAGTGCATGCAGAAGGAAAGGCACAACAGACATTTTTGGAAAGAAAAAGGCCATAGCTTTCTTAGAAACAAACCAAGGAGCACTGGTGCAGCATGGGGACGGATCCAGAATTGGACGACCTACCTGTTGCCCATTGCACCCCTTCCCCCAGCCCACCTGCTGGGGGGAACCAAGGAGTGACAGTTCCAGTGGGGGGGGGTCCTCACCTGGGTGCCAGTCACTGCGTGGTTCTCCTTGCTACCTGGCGGTGATAGCCAGACGGCAGCCCTCAAACTGGACATGCTGCAAAATGCCTCCACCCCAAGACCCCTTAAGGGAGTCTCCAACCGGAGGAGGTGAGCACGCAGGACCATCCTCCGCAAAATGGATTCGTCCCAATGCCCAGCCCACCTAAAGGTAAAGGTAAAGGTTCCCTTGCTCAAAAGCCAGTCAGATCCGACTCTAGGGTTGCGGTGCTCATCTCTATTTCAAAGCCAAAGAGCCAGCGCTGTCCGAAGACATTTCCGTGGTCCTGTTGCCGGCATGACTAAACACCAAGGCGCACGGAACGCTGTTACCTTCCCACCGAAGTGGTACCTATTTATCTACTTGCAATTTCTTGCTTTCGAACTTCTAGGTTGGCAGGAGCTGGAACTAGAGCCGGGAGCTCACTCCGTCATGCGGCACCCTCGGGTGTCGAACTGCTGAACTACCGACCTTCCACAGCCTGCCGTTCAGCGTCTTAACCACTTGAGCCACCGCAGCCAGCCCACCTAAGCTGTGACAAATACAAGACGTAAAACCACTATAACAAAATTGAGGAATCTCTTGTTAAAAAAAAATTAAATTAAAAAAACCCACAAACAACATTGAGGGAGGGTGCGTGGGAGAGAGTCGCAGGAAGCAGGAAGAGACACCCAGCGGCAGCTGTTTAGATAGCCACAGGGAGAGCAGACATGGCACACACATCAAAGCTCCTCCCCGTGGGTGACCCTTGGCCCATAGGCTGGCCACTGGTGATGTAATTAGCTGGCCAGCCCAACACCACGGGGCCTGTAACATGTGACTTGCTGGAGGAACAGCCATGTGGCAACCTGAACTGCCTTCTTGAGCTCTTCCGGCCCAGGACACAAATTCAACCTCCGGTAACTTGGGTTCCTTGATTCTCACCTGTGCTTTGCTGTGGTCTAGAGAAAGCGGCTCATTCGTAGTAATTTGTGAGTCACAACACACACAAAGAGCCAGTTTGGTGTAATGGTTAAGAGCAGCAGACTTTAATCTGGGAGAACTGGGTTTGATTCCCCACTCCTCCACATGCAGCCAGCTGGGTGGCCTTGGGTCAGTCACAGTCCTCTCAGAGCTGTTCTCCCAAGAGCAGTTCTGGCAGAACTCTCTCAGCCCCACCTACCTGTGGGGAGGGAAAGTGAAGGAGATTGTAAGCCACTCTGAGACTCTGAGTGAAGGGTGGGGTATAAATCTAACTACCACTCCTTCCCTCCCACCCCCATACGGATGCCATTTCAGACAGCTTCCACAAGGCAGCCATTTTGTACCAACTTAGTCATCTTGTTTATGGACTTTCTAGCGGCAGCTGGTTGGCCACTGTCTGAGACAGAATGCTAGACTAGATGGGCCTTTGGTCTGATCCAGCATGGCTCTTCTTATGTTCTTATTTTGCTGTGTATTATCATTACTGTCGTTGTTGCCATGGCATTTTACGGAACACAAGGCATGGCATGGCATTTTACAGAACACAAGAAAACAGATTCCTCCCCTGAGGAGCATGCAACTGTTGTGGGAGAACGAAGGTGGGGATAAACACAGGAGGAGTATGCATTTATTCCAGTCTTAATCATTGAATGTCCTACAGTGTAAGAAGACGACAAGCCCTATAATGGATGAGACCAGTCACCCACCTAGGCCATCACCCTGTTTTATGCACTAGTCAGCTGGAGGGCCAGGAAATGCAACACAGACGCCGGTGCCTTCACCTGTTGGTGCCTCCTAGTTGAAAGGTTTAACAGGCTCATAAGTGGGAGGCTTGTAGTAGCCTGAATAGCCCAGGCTAGTCTGAGCTTGTAAGAGGTTGGAAGCTAAGTAAGGGTCACCCGTGGTTAGTACTTGGATGGGAGACCACCAAGAAAGACCTGGGTTGCTGTGCAGAGGAAGGCAATGGCAAACCTCTGTGCTCATCTCTTGCCTTGAAAATCCCAGGAGGGGTTACCTTAAGTTGGTTGTGACATGACAGCAGTTAATAATTATTAGGGGGGAGGTTGCTGTCTTGCTTTTGCCACCTGACCTGTTTCCTTTTGTGCTTTGAAAGAAGTATCAGTCTTTGAAATGCTGTTGCCTTACTGCCCAGGTTTTCTACGTAGACTATGGCAATAGATCCAAAGTGGCGTTGGACGACCTGCGAGGGATTCCAGATCACCTTCGAGAGCTTCCTTTCCAGGTAGCGTTTTTCTTGTGCTGCCTTTCCCTGAAATTTAGTTTCAGATGGAGAGGCTCACCTTCCAATTTATGGGAAGTCCCAATTGGCCAAAACATTCAGCAGGTCCTTTTTGGTGGTGGCTCGGCAATGTCTTTCCAGTTTCTTTACATTACTTATAGTCTCTGAGACTCAAGGTGGATTATAGCACCAGTTGATGTGATCGGTAGGATGGGGCATCCAGTAAACAATGCAATAGCATTTGGATTGCAGAAATCTGAAATAATTTAATTTTTTCTTATTGTTTGTGCTACCACTTCTTTGTTTTGGCTTTGTTTTTAATGAGTTATGTTTTATTTTCTCTGTATTGCTGATTTATACTTTTATCCTTTTTAGTTGTGCCACTCTGGAGCCTTGGTTATTGAGTAAAATTTTAAAATTGATGACTTCTGTAGAAAGCGGGGGGGGGGAGAAGCAAGCCTGTTAATGTTCCAAATTGATCTCCCCCCCCCCCCATTTTCCAGGGGAGGGAATTAAACATTTTTGTCTTTTTCTGCGTCTTAGGCTTTGGAATTTAAGGTGCGCAGAATGCGGCCTTCTGCTCAATCTTTAGTATGTGGAGAGCAGTGGAGCTATGCAGCGAGCCAGAGGTTTGCTTCGTTGGTCAACCACTGTGCGCTGATAGTGAAGGTCTTTTCAGTTGTGCACAGCGTCTTGCACGTGGATGTGTACCGGCATTCCGGGATTACGGATGTTGTGAATGTCCGAGACGTACTGATTCAAGAATGCCATGCAGAATTGTCGGAAGACTCCTATGAATCAAAAGTATGCCTTACACTCTTTAACTTTTGCTACAGCTAGGTGTGTTTTTTAATGTCAGTATTGTTGTTGTTGTTGTTTTTAATATGGAGCCAGAAGGTGGGAGAAGCAAAATCAAGAAGGGCACACTGTGTTTTGTAGGGCCAAACAGTACAGTGCCTTTATTGGCGATTCAGGTCTGGGTTCCCCAAAACCCGGCTAGCAGAATGTCATCGTAAAACTCCAAAGGCGATCAGTTCAGCTCAGAATTGCAGGGTGGGATGGGAAGGAGCTTCTGCCTTTCCACTGCACCATTTTCCCAAGTCCAAACACCCCAGAGGAGAGGGGAGTTATTTGCATAACTTTGGAGTTGCATGTGCACAGAATGACCCATTACGCATGGACATCTTACTGCAGATTTTCCAAATAGGAAGCCTTCAAGCTTGACTTCGGATTCTGTGCCTGCCTTATGCACGATTCTTTTTCCTCCGGTGTATTTATTCTGTAGCTACAATTTTTTAAAATGCACTTTTCTAAATCAGGGTGGGATGTCACTTGTGACATGTGGGAGGTGGTGTCCAAAGGTTTGTTGTTGTTTTTTAATTGCACAATTGCCCTGTTGCAGCTGCACAGTAGCATCCAGCAAGCACCTTCCATTTAAACCCTTGTGATTCAGGCTTTGCGCATGCATTTTGGCATTAGTTCATTGAATGCTGGCAAAGGGGGGAAACCTGATGTTGAAACAGACTAGACTTTTTTTTAAAAAAAACTGACAAGCAGCTGTGAAGCCCCATGCCGAGCTCTAGGGGATTCTCTGCTGTGTTATCGGCCACTGTGAAAAATGGAAAGAGTCACATGATCTCATAATATGGGAGAAAATGTTGAGTGTACAGAATGCACGGTAGACCCACTGAAACTGGCATTGCAAGCTGTGATCGTTGGCAATGTGTGTATTTATGTGCGTGTGCCTGTGCAAAGTTGGCTGCATCTCCACCACACTTTGCACAGGGCTGCAATTTGTATGGAAAATTACTGCTCTGGCGGAAGCTCTGGGGAGCTTTTTTAGTCTTGTCCCACTAAATTGAAATAAAACCAAAATGGGGTGTGTGTATTTTCACCGATGCCCTAGCTCAGCTGCATAGTAATACCAACTTCATGCCTTTCCTTGCAAATTTGAGTGGTTTTCTCTTTGTGATTCTCTAATTTGATCCTGCACACTGGTTGTGATCTTGGCAGTTTTTAAAAGCCTGTCTGGTGTCAGTTGCACTCTGTCCTCCAAGTGATTCTTAAGTTAAACGGTTTGCAGAGGGTCCTTGTGGCTCAGCTGCCATTTTATTTTTAGGCTTCTGGAGACTGCCAAAATGTCCCCCCCCCATTGTTCACTAAAGCATTAAAGGGAAAATGCTTTCAAGTCTGTAGACTTCTCTTCCCAGTGTCTCTCTCTCTCTTTACATCTCATGTCAATTTCATTCCACACTGATGATCCCCCCTTTATTTTGTATGCATGTAGCACTGAAATTCTCCCCCCCCCCCCCAAACTGGGGATGCTGCCATTTGCCCCCTCTCTGATCCCTCCATCTAGTCCAGCATCCTGTCTCACACAGTGGCCAGCCAGTTCCTCTGGACAGCCAACAACAAGGCACAGAAACAGCGGCCTTTCCCCGATAAGAACATAAGAAGAGCCCTGCTGGATCAGACCTGTGCTCCATCTAGTCCAGCATTCTGTCTCATACAGTGGCCAGCTAGCTCCTCTGGAGGGCCGACAACAGGGTGTAGAGGCCGAGGCCTTCCCCTGATGAGAACATAAGAAAAGCCTTGCTGGATCAGACCAGTCCTCCATCTAGTCCAGCATCCTGTCTCACACAGTGGCCAGCCAGTTCCTCTGGACAGCCAACAACAAGGCACAGAAACAGCGGCCTTTCCCCGATAAGAACATAAGAAGAGCCCTGCTGGATCAGACCTGTGCTCCATCTAGTCCAGCATTCTGTCTCATACAGTGGCCAGCTAGCTCCTCTGGAGGGCCGACAACAGGGTGTAGAGGCCGAGGCCTTCCCCTGATGAGAACATAAGAAAAGCCTTGCTGGATCAGACCAGTCCTCCATCTAGACCAGCATCCTGTCTCACACAGTGGCCGACCAGTTCCTCTGGAGAGCCAGCAACAGGGTGTAGAGGCCAAGGCCTCCCCCTGATAAGAACATAAGAAAGAAGAGCCCTGCTGGATCAGACCAGTCCTCCATCTAGACCAGCATCCTGTCTCACACAGTGGCCGACCAGTTCCTCTGGAGAGCCAGCAACAGGGTGTAGAGGCCAAGGCCTCCCCCTGATAAGAACATAAGAAAGAAGAGCCCTGCTGGATCAGACCAGTCCTCCATCTAGACCAGCATCCTGTCTCACACAGTGGCCGACCAGTTCCTCTGGAGAGCCAGCAACAGGGTGTAGAGGCCAAGGCCTCCCCCTGATAAGAACATAAGAAAGAAGAGCCCTGCTGGATCAGACCAGTCCTCCATCTAGTCCAGCATCCTGTCTCACACAGTGGCCGACCAGTTCCTCTGGAGAGCCAGCAACAGGGTGTAGAGGCCAAGGCCTCCCCCTGATAAGAACATAAGAAAGAAGAGCCCTGCTGGATCAGACCAGTCCTCCATCTAGACCAGCATCCTGTCTCACACAGTGGCCGACCAGTTCCTCTGGAGGGCCAGCAACAGGAGGCCTTCCCCTGATGTTGCCTCCTGGCTCTGGGATTCAGAGGCTTAGTGCCTCTAAACATGGAGGTTCCCCCCAGTCACCACCACAGGTAGTAGCCACTGATAGACCTATCCTCCATGAAACTGTCTAATCCCCTGTTAAAGCTGTTTATTCCTGTGGCCATCACTACATCCTTTGGCAGCGAATTCCACATTTTAATCACTCTCTGTGTTCATTTGTTCAGTTCATTTGTGACTGGAGTCTCCTGCTTTTCTTGGTAGCTTCAGAGGGTAGCCAGGACAGTCTGCAGTCGGACAGCTGGATTCGAGTTCAGTAGCCTCTTTGAGACCAACAAGTTTTTTAGGGTTTGAGCTTTTAAGAGTCAAAGCTCCCTTTGTCAGATATTGATTAAAGTAGCTTTGAGTCTCAAAAGCTTATACCCTGAAAATCTTGTTGGTGTGTAAGGTGCTTCTGAGCGCGAATCGTGGAGGATAGGTCTATCAGTGGCTACTACCTGTGGTGACTGACGGGAGGCACCTCGAATCCCAGAGCCAGGAGGCAACATCAGGGAAGGCCTCGACTTCTACACAGCCAGTTTGGTGTGCATGGACTCTTATCTGGGAGAACTGGGTTTGATTCCCCACTCCTCCACATGCAGCCAGCTGGGTGACTTTGGGCAAGCCGTAGTTCTGATAAAAGCTGTTCTTGAATGGACCTCCTGATGGCACCTGGTATTTCTGGCCACTGTGTGACACAGAGTGTTGGACTGGATGGGCCTTTGGCCTGATCCAACATTGGCGTCTCTTATGTTCTTATGAGTGAAGGGCGGGTTATAAATCCAATCTCCTCCTCCTCCTCCTCCTCCTCCTCCTCCTTCTATTGGTCTTTCACAGCTGGCCATCTCCCCCCCCCTTTCCCGAAGGCTTGTCATTGTCAGGAAGTCATTTTGTGACTGCCCATAGTCCAGAACTTTGGAGGGGTGGTGGTGGATCTCTTCCCAGTGGAAGGTGGTTTTGGAGGGGGGAGAAGTTTTCAGTCCCCCTCTCAGAGTGACCAACTCCAAGATGCCCTTGATTCCCCTGCAAAGAGGAAAAACTTCTAATGGCACCTTTGACATCCTTTCTCTTCCCACATGGGCCCGTCTTCATTTCTCTCTCTAGGTAAGCAACGAAACTCTCAAGCAGCTGTTTGCGAAGCCAGATGCAAACAAGGGGAAGATCAGCTGCTGAGAATAACGCAATAGAGGAGAAAGAGGAGCGCCTGATGAAAGCGTTGTTGGATGGCTGCACCATCAATAGGCTTGGGGCTCCCAGCTGCAAGGTGAGTTGAGAAGGGGTCTCTTTTTTTTTAATAAAGAATTTTATTAGTTTATATAAAGAAAGTAGGGAAGGGGTAAGGAAAGAAAAAAATAAAATAAAATAATGTAAAAATATTCAAGTTCCAGTTTAACATTCTGCATGAATATCTTCTCATTACAATTTCACAACTACTTCAAATGATGAACATTTATTCTTAATGTGACCTTTGTAACCGTGTATGGCTCTGCAATTCAGATGGCCAAGCAATTACTATCTATACAGAATTGTGAAACTAGTATTTCTTACACTAAAGCATATACAGGTGGGAGCTCTGAAGTACTCACCTGAGTGAAAGTGCTGGTATGCATTGTAGAGACCTGTACATGCAGAATAACTCTGTCAATGAGAGGTTTGGGACCAGTTAGAAAGCCTATTCTTAACCTAGGTAAAAGAAAGTAACAGTTACCTCAGAATATTGGGTACCATCAATATTTAATTAAAAGTTAATATGACATTATATTTGAAAACTCATCTTCTCCCCTGACATTTAACTTGACTTTGAATTTTGAAAAGGGAATGTAGAAATATTCAAGTTCCAGTTTAGCATTCTGCATGCATGTCTTCTCATTGCAATTTCACAACTATTTCATCTATCGTTCTTATTTTTCACTTAGTCTCAATACTTGAGTTTTAACCAGTCATAGAACGCCCTCCAGGGTCCCATAAATTCTTCTTCCATTTTTCCTTTTAATATATTTGTCAACTTGTCCATTTCAGCACATTTCATATCAACTCATGTAGCATTGGAATTTGCAGCGTCCTCCACGTCGTTGCAAATAAAATTCTGGCAGCTGTTATAACATGTAAAATAAAATATTTATGAGTCTCATCCAACTTGTCTGCTTGGGAATCACTTTTCCCCCCGTTTTCAGAACAATGTGCTCTGGTTGGTATTGCAGGACGTAGGCTGTGCTTCCATCCAAATCTGTTAACAGGACCAGCGTTGATCCTGGCTACTTCTTGACCTTGTTGAAACTTCACCCCCTCTACCGTCATAGAAATATGTGAACACAAATGACATCTGAGTGAAATGCACTGTGCTCACACGATCTGTAATCAAGATGGGTAGCCGTGGTAGTCTGTCTGTAGCAGTAGAAAAGAGCAAGAGTCCAGTAGCACCTTAACGACTAATAAAATGTGTGGCGCACTATGAGCTTTCGTGAGGCACTGCTCACCTCTTCAGATTATGATCTGTAATGTGAGTCTGCTTAGCGGGGAGTCGGTGTTTGTGCAAACAGTTTTTATGCCTCTAAGTTTCATAGGGGAGCCATGTTGATTTGCAGTAGAACAGCTAGATTTCAGTCCAGCAGCAACTCAGAGACCAACAAGATTTCTGGGGTATAATCTTTTGAGTGTCACAGCATCCCTTTATCAGATCAGTATGACAAAGGAGTTTTGACCATTGAAAGCTTATACCCCCAAAATCTTGTTGGTCTGTAACAGGGGTGGCCAGACTTGCTTAACTTAAGAGCCACATAGAATAAATGTCAGATGCTTGAGAGCCACAAGACATGAATGAATATTACACGCATGTTTTTATTGGAAAATACGCAAATTTGCTTTTTAATAACATGAAATGAGACTGCCAAAACTAAAAACAAAAAGGGGTAAAAACAGATATTGATAATTATATTTATTTGCCCCGTGATATTTGTTTGCTAAGGATGTTTATTTGTCTAAGAGAGAGAGAGAGGGGTGGAAAGAAAGAGAGAGAGAGAGGTGGAAAGAGAGAGAGAGAAAGATGAAAAGAAAGAATTTAAAGTTGCAGTCTTCCCACACACACACACTTCAAGCCTACCTAGGGAGGGGAACACTGGCTGGAAAAGGGAAGACCGATCGGGGAGGCATGCCCCCCCTTCACTTCCCCAGCTGCCCTGCCAGGAGCCCTGCCAGGAGCCGCACAATATGCCAGGAGCCGCTTGAGGCTCCTGAGCCACAGTTTGGCCACCTCTGGTCTGTAAAGTACTACTGGGCTTGAATCTAGCTACGCCTTTAAGATTATCCTAAGTTCTTGGGGAAAACACACCTAATGCCACAGCTTAATATTTTGTTGGCGCATGACCTTGCTTAAGCAAGACTTTGCTTATCCAATATGTGCAGGGGCCCAGTGAAAACGGAATGTGTGCATGCACGCACATCTACACAGAGACCAACCAGTTACTCTGGGGGGCCGACAACAGGGCACAGAGCTCAAGGGCTTTCCCCAATGTTGCCTCCCGGCCAGTGTTCCCTCTAAGCTGAGTTAGTGTGAGCTAGCTCACAGTTTTTTAGCCTCCAGCTCACACGTTTTTGTCTTTGCTCAGGAAGGATGGCTCCAGAGCAAACTCATTTCTGCAGTAGCCAAATCGCTAGCTCACAACTTTAATGCCAGTAGCTCACAAAGTTGAATTTTTGCTTACAAGACTCCACAGCTTAGAGGGAGCATTGCCCCTGACCCCTCCCAGGGTTTCTACAGACAGACCTCTACACTTTCCTACTAATCTTCCTACTAGGGCCCATTCATAATGTTGATTTAATTTGTGCCTTCTCCTGCTCTTTCTTCCAAAGGCAGTTCTGCTTGGTCCATACAATCCGTACAATCTGAGGGTCAGCAGTATGACCAGGATCTCCCGCTTCAGGTAGGATGGTGTGGTGGTGTGTCTTGTGGGAAAACTTGGGGCTTTCCTGTTCTGCTGCTGGGAACGGCCACCCCTGACACTTTAGGATGCAGTTAGAATGTGGGTTTTTGCCCATAGCAGCAAAAATATACACTCTGTTCAGCCAGCAATTATTTCTGGATACTGAGGATTGCTGTGTGTCTCTGGAGCTTCTCTGTCAGCAAGAGCTTTTCTTTTGCTTTCAGCACGGGAATCCTGATCTCTGCACGCAAAGAAATGTGCATCAGTCAGGTTCCTGCACCGAAATAATGGGCATGCCTGTGGTTTGTGTGCCTGTTTCAAAAGCGACGAGAGTTAATTTCCCCAGTGGCCTTAATGGCTACCTTGTCTCTGCTGGAAAAATAACTGGTATGTGAAAGGCCACCGTGTCTGTAGTATGGAGCAGTTGGGAATGAGCCTGTGTTCAAAGAGCACTGGAGTACTGAATGTGAAGCTCACCTGAGCCTGGAGCTGAATTTTTTGAGACGGTCCAGGTGAGATCTTCCCCATTCTGCTAGGAACTGAGCTGTTGTATGAGCTCGCCTTAAAGGCCTCGGGGGGTCCCAGTTGTCCTTGCTTTCAGCCCTAGATAGGCCGCCTCCACACTGTCATTTTTGTCACTCCTTTGTCTCTGTTGCTTCAGGGATTTCCCCCCCCCCCGGAGTATTTTGTTACCAGGTCCCCAAGTGGTGTTTTCTTGATTCTCCGTTTCCAGCCGCATTTTTCCCCTGTGTGATCGCTCCTCTGGTGTTGAGCCACTTCTGGTTTAAACCCCCTCCCCGCTCGAAAGCTGCCCGAGGCTTCCGCTTTGCGCCCGCCATTTTTTAAAGTGTTGGCGGTGTGCAGATAGGCGGAGCGCCGCTACCACGTTATTTACAACAATGTTTAAACGGTGCCTAGTTTTAGCCTTTAGACGAGTTCGGGATCTCACGGAGGCCATTTTCGGGGTAAACGTTTAAAGGGAAGTGTTCCTTTAAAGTTTAAAGGGAAGTGTTACAGCAGTCGGGTTGAAGTGGAAATCGCTATTCTGCGCACGTGCGAAAATTTTAGTTCTACAGGTGGCTGCCTGTGCGCATGCCCAAACTGAGAGAAAAACAACACCGATGCACGCTCCCGCCTGTGGACGGCGGGGAGCGATGTGGCTGCGCAGCGATCTGGAGCAAGGAGGTGAGTGTGATCACGATTCTCCAGGTTAAAAAAGACCGCATCAGGACCGGGGCAATTTAAACTGCTCCCAGCACACCGTCTGACCACACCCTGGGTGCGTTCAGACGCGGCGTTTCAGCCGGCATAAACTGTACCGGTTGGAACCGGTGCAGTTTATGCCGGCTGAAACGTGATCACACTTACCTCCATTTTGCGGATCGCATCGGTGTATGCCCGCTCACACACTGCGGGTGTCGGTGTTTGGGGTTTTTTTAAACACAGTTTGAGCATGCGTATAGGCAGCCATTCACAGAATGGCGATCTTTGCGCATGCTCAAAACACCCCATATTACATTTAAACTTTAAAGGTAAGGACTTACCTTTAAAGCGCATATCGCTCAGTTTAAAAAAAAAAAAGGCGACGGAAATGGCTAGACACCGGTGGAGAGCGATCAGACGGAGGGGTACATCGAAAGCAACCGTTGCACTCAGTATACCACCACTTGGGGACCTAGTGGCAGAGTGCAACAGTTTAAAGGGATTTACAACGGTTAGGGATGGGAGGCAGATGTTCGCCGTCTGAACGCCGGTAAGTACACCGGTTGGAACCGGCACCTATACCGTTGTAAATCCCCAATCTGAACGCACCCACTATGTGTTTTCCTCTCTCTAGTAGTCCCAGAGGGAGCAAAACACATGTGGAAAAGGGGGGGGGGATGACCCAAAGCAATAGGGACGAACAAGTGACAAAAGTGTCAGTGCAGAAGTGGCCGTCATTTTCCAGAATGAAGTTCCTCTGTACGAGGCCAGGAAATCCACAGCTGCCAAGGAGGATTACTCGATCCCAGCTGAAGGAACCTGCCTTGTTCAAGGCCATGTAGTCATGTCACCTAAGCCGGGGTCTTGCAGGACCAAATCCAGACTTCTGATGGATTGTCATGACGTCTTTGTTCGGGCAGCCACGGGACTGAAGAGATCTGAGTAAATTCATTCGGCAACCCTTGCAGTACAGCCTTATGCTTAGTTACTCTTCTAAGCCGATTGACGTCTGTAGACTTAGAAGGGTGTAATTCTACTTAGGGTTGCGCTGTCAGTCAATACCACATAAGTTAGTGCTTATGGGAATGTGTCAAAGTGTACCTCTGAAGAATTAGCTGTGTTTTAATTTTAGATGTGCTGCACATGCCACAGCAGACTGGGTGGCTTCTGTTTTGGCGGCTTCTTCCCAGCCTGCCGGGGGGTGCAGTCTGAAACTAGCTAACCACATTCTGTTCTGGACCCACGGAAGACAGCTAAGCATCCTACCGTCCTGTAGGATGCAGCCAAAGAGGCCTTAATAAGATGCCATGAAAGATGCACCCCCACACACACCAGCCCTGGGTTTTGGGATTTTTAAAACATCTATGATAAAGAGTTCTGGAGAACTTGAAAGTTCGCACATTGTGTTGTGGTATTTTAGAATCATAGAGGCATAGAGTTTGCATGGACCTCAAAGGTCATCTAGTCCAACCCCATGAACAATGCAGGAAATTCACAAATATCTCCCCCTCCACATCCGCAAGTGACTGCTGTTCCACACCCGTGACGTGGTGTTCAGTTCTGGATGTCCCAGCGGGTATCATTATAGAAGAGGCACATGTGGGAGGAGAGGGAATGCCTCTTCTAAGATGACTCTTGCTTATTTTCATTCTTTTTTTAAAAAAAATCTTTTGCCCAGTTTGTGAAGTTCGTACCATTCAATCCGTTGGACATGAAGGGTGATGCATTATCAATTTGCACTAGGTACAACAGGACTGTAGGGGGCGCAGTAGAGCCATTAAGACAGACAAGTCCATTCTTTCTGTCCGCTTTCCTCTTGTCTTGTCCTGCTGCTATTCCTTCGTTACCTAGACTGCTTTTCTTAGTGACTTCCTTCTTACCAGCTGTCTCTCTTATGTGTGCTCTCGCTCTGTATATCCTATTTGGATTTTATTTATTTTTTTGCCTTCAAATCCCAGTCAATGTATGGCAACCCTGTAGGGCAGTGGTGGCAAACCTATGGCACGGGTGCCAGAGGTGGCACTCTGAGCCCTCTCTGTGGGCACGCATACCATTGCCCCAGCCAGGCCCAGACCATCATTAAAGTGTCGAATTCTCTGCCAAATAATTTTAAGTAAATGAAAGCATTTGGGATTGCTTTCCTTACTTTGCTTGGATCATCTTAAGTTAACGTATGAGTTGTTTTTCTAAAGTAAAACCTCAGTATTCAGGTTAAATTGCCGTGTTGGCAAGGTGGTAGGTCAAAAGATCATGATAGACCGTGTCGAACGCCGCTGTAAGATCAATAACAGCAGCGCCGACCCACTTCAGTCCAACTGTTTGCGGAGGTCACCTGTGAGGGCAACCAATGCCATCTCCGTCCCAAGGCCAAGGCGGAAACCTGACTGGAATGGGTCCAGTGCCGACGTGTCTTCCAGGAAATTCTGGGGCTGCTCTGCCACCACTCTCTCAGTTACCAGAGAGCCAGTTTGGTGTAGTGGTTAAGTGTGCGGACTCTAATCTGGGAGAACCGGGTTTGATTCCCCACTCCTCCACTTGCACTTGGCTGGATGACCTTGGGCAAGCTGTAGTTCTGATAAGGGCTGTTCTTGAAAAAGAGCAGTCTCTGTGAAGAGCTCTTTCAGCCGCACCCACCTCACAGGGTGTCTGTTGTGGGGAGGGGAAGGGAAAGGAGTTTGTAAGCCGCTCTGAGACACCTTTGGGTAGTGAAGGGCGGGGTATAAATCCAGTCTCCTCTCCTCCTTGCCTTACCTTACCCAGAAACAAAAGATTCAAGACTGGGCGGTAACTGGATGGATCCGTAGGGTCCAGAGTTGGCTACTTTACGAGTGGTACAACCACAGCCTCTTTTAATCCCTCCAGGGTAGACCACCAAATCCAGGGACAGGTTGATAATGTTCACCAGAGGGCCCCATATTCCCTCACCACTGGCTTTCACCACCCACGAGGGACCCAGGTCTAAGAGGCATGTGGTTGGCCTATAAGCTCCTAGAATCCTGTCAACATCGGCCGGGGAGAGTCAGCTGAAGCTGTCAAACACAGATTCCGGTGATGGCCAAGGGGCCTCCAGTTCACATACAGTATCGCTGTTTACATACTGTATTGTTGCTGCAGTTGTCATTATTATTTCCCCCCCTCCTAGAACGGTCTTAGTAGAGAAAGACAGCATCAGTTCTGTGATTGTTGACGATTCCCCCGAGGATTCCTTTCAGCAAATCCTGGTTGCTGCATCCATAGCGGTAAACTCAACAGGTAGATGTGATTTTAAACACGCCGATAGTGCATTAATAAAACGGTCGCTCGGTCGCTCATTTGCATCTGTGCTGTAATTCCATATCGTGTTGTAGTTTTACCTTTGTCAGGTTGATATATTCTTAAAGAGACGTGTTCTCGTTGACAACAGGATCTACCATGTTGCTAAGGGAGACTTCTATCATGCCTCGTATTCCTGGACTGCCGGCTTTGCTTAGCATGCTGTTTGCTCCTGTGATAGATCTTAGGTATGTGCTCACCCCTAAGCACTTACCCAGTAATTAACATAACAAATTGTCTCAACGCCTGAGAGGACTGAATGGAGAGTCTCAGTCTTATTTTGACGTATTTATTGCTTTACAACTGTTGACCTTATAACCTTAGCTTGTTAGTTAGTTTTCTCTTTGCCTATCTTAAGA